GTTTTAAACAAAGAAAAAAGAAAAACAACACACACAAAAAAACAATACAAAATTTAACAATAAAAACACAAAACATAACAATTAAAAACAAACTCTCTTTTCCATTCCCAATTTTAAATTACTTATTTTCTGGACTTCCTCATACCTCCCTCTTTTGTATTCCAATCTGCATTATTTGTCCAGCAGTTTCTTTTCCACTTTTTAAACCCAATCTTTAATTTAATAAAATATTAAAATATATAACTTCAACTTTTTAAACATAATCCTTGTTCTTAATGTCATATACCTTTAAATTTTTCCCTTTTATTATCAAATTTCCATTTCTTTAAACATCTTTAATCTTGATCTTTAATCTTAATCTATCCTTAACTTTAACCTGTACAGCTGGAAACCACTTATTTTCAATCCAACATCACTCTAACATTCCTTAATTTTGCAGTGTTTCTGAAGATAGTCTTTGAATTTCTTCCAGTCTTCCTCCATCGACTCTTCTCCCTGGTCACGGATTCTGCCAGTCATTTCCGCCAATTCCATATAGTCCATAAGTTTCATCTGCCATTCCTCCAGCGTGGGAAGTTCTTGTGTCTTCCAATACTTTGCGATGAGTATTCTTGCTGCTGTTGTTGCATACATAAAGAAAGTTCTATCCCTTTTTAACACCATTTGGCCCACTATGCCCAGGAGAAAGGCCTCTGGTTTCTTGGGGAAGGTATACTTAAATACCTTTTTTAATTCATTATATATCATTTCCCAGAAAGCCTTAATCTTTGGGCACGTCCACCAAAGGTGAAAAAATGTACCTTCAGTTTCTTTACATTTCCAACATTTGTTATCGGGCAAGTGATAGATTTTCGCAAGCTTGACTGGGGTTATGTACCACCTGTATATCATTTTCATAATATTCTCTCTTAAGGCATTACATGCCGTAAATTTCATACCAGTGGTCCATAACTGTTCCCAGTCAGCAAACATAATGTTATGTCCTACGTCCTGTGCCCATTTAATCATAGCCGATTTTACCGTTTCATCTTGAGTATTCCATTTCAGCAGCAAGTTATACATTCTTGACAGATTCTTAGTATTGGGTTCTAACAATTCTGTTTCTAATTTTGATTTTTCCACCTGGAAGCCAATTTTCCTGTCTAATTTAAATGCCTCCATTATTTGATAATAATGAAGCCAGTCTCGCACTTTGTTTTTAGTTTTTCAAAACTCTGCAATTTCAGTCTATCTCCGTCTTGTTCCAAAATTTCCCAATATTTCGGCCATTTGACCTCCATATTGACCCTTTTCAAGGCTTTCGCTTCCATTGGTGACAGCCACCTTGGGGTTTTATTTTCTAGCAAATCCTTATATCTTATCCAAACATTAAATAGCGCTTTCCTGACAATGTGGTTTTTAAATGCTTTGTGTGCTTTGACCTTATCATACCATAAATATGCATGCCATCCAAATACATTATTGAAACCTTCCAAATCCAAAATGTCAGTGTTTTCAAGAAGTAGCCATTCTTTCAACCAGCAAAAAGCTGCTGATTCATAATAAAGTTTGAGGTCTGGCAGGGCAAATCCACCTCTTTCCTTTGCATCTGTTAGTATTTTAAATTTTATTCTAGGTTTCTTGCCCTGCCAGACAAATTTAGAAATATCTTTCTGCCACCTCTTGAAACAGTCCATTTTGTCCACAATCTGCAAAGTTTGAAACAAAAACAACATTCTAGGCAATACATTCATTTTTATCGCAGCAATACGGCCTAGCAGTGAAAGCTTCAAGTTTGACCAAATTTCTAAATCTTTTTCACTTCTGACCAACATTTTTCATAATTATCTTTAAATAAATTCCCATTTTTGCTGTCATGTTAATCCCCAGGTATTTAACTTTCTTAACCACTGTTAACCCTGTCTCATTCTGAAACCTCTCTCTTTCAAACGGTGTTAAATTTTTCTCTAAAACCTTGGTTTTTGATTTGTTCAATTTAAATCCTGCCACTTGACCAAATTCTTGAATCAGTTCTAACACCCTTTTTGTACTAGATTCTGGCTCCTGTAACGTCAATACTAGGTCATCTGCAAATGCTCTCAATTTATAGTGTTTAGTTCCGACCTGTATACCTTTAACCATCTGGTCCCTTCTAATCATATTCAGCAACACCTCCAGGACCGAAATAAAAAGAAGAGGGGAAATTGGGCAACCTTGTCGTGTCCCTTTTTCAATTTTAAGTTCTTCCGTCACAACGTTATTTACAATTAGTTTAGCCTTTTGTTCTGAATAAATTGCACTTATACCATTCTCAAAACCTTGGCCTACCCCCATACCCTGAAGATTCTTCTTCATAAAATTCCAAGAAATATTGTCAAAGGCTTTCTCCGCGTCTACGAATATCAACACTGCTTTAGTGTTTATATTCACTTCTAGTTTTTCCAAAATATCAATTATATTCCTCAGATTATCAGACAAGTGTCTTCCTGGGAGAAAGCCCGCTTGGTCTTTATGAATCTCTTCCAGCAGCACTTTTTAAATCTCTTCGCCAAAATATCTGCAAAAATTTTGTAATCCACATTAAGTAATGATATTGGGCGGTAGTTCTTTAGTTGTGTCTTTTCAGCCTCTGTTTTTGGTACAAGTGTAATATATGCTTCTTTCCACGACTCTGGTGCCCTCCTCCCCTCCATTATTTCGTTGCAGACCTCTTTCAATGGTTGAATTAGCCATTCTTTTAAGGATCTGTAGTATCTAGAGGTCAAGCCGTCTGGGCCTGGAGATTTACCCAGTTGCATGTTTTGAATGGCACCTTCTATTTCCTGTTCCGTTATTCTGTCATTCAAAATTAGTCTCTTTTCTTGAGATATTTTTGTAATCCATTTGTTTTCAAAAATTGGTCTAAGTCTGTTTCTTTCACAGGCCCTTGAGTGTATAGTCTTTTAAAATACTTCTGGAAACAACTTCTAATCTCTGCAGGGTTCTGTATATTCCTTCCATCCACTTCTAAATTCGTAATCGTATTTAATTTTTGTCTCTTTTTCATTTGCCATGCCAACAGTTTACCACATTTATTGGCCGATTCAAAAGTCTTTTGTCTCATTTGTTTAATTTTCCATTCTATTTCCTGATTCATTATTTTCATATATTGTACTTGATATAACTTTAACTCTCTCAAAATCTCTTGAGATTTGGGATTTACTCGCAATCTTTTTCACATTCATTCATTTTGTTCATAATTTTATCCTTCTTCTCATTTTGAGTTCTTTTCTTTATCGCATTCTGTTGTATTAAGAACCCTCTCATAACAGCTTTACTTGCATCCCAGATTACTCTTTTCTCCACGTTGGAACTAAGATTTATCTCAAAGTAGTCTCTTAAAGTTTTTTGGGCCTTCTTAAGAAATTCTTCATCTCTAAATAAGGTGTCATTCATCTTCCATCTGAAGGAGCCAGTTGGCATTAGTCTCATTTCCATCTTAACAGCGTTATGGTCGGAGCAAATTTTCGGGCAGATTTCCACCTTTCTTGTCTTTGGTGCCATTCCTCTAGTTATCCAAATTTGGTCAATTCTTGTCCAAGTCATTTTGGCTTCAGAAAAGAAAGTTCCCTCTTTTGCCAAGGGGTTTCTAATTCTCCAAATATCCACTAAGTCCAAGTTGTCTGTCATATCAAAAAAGGTTTTCGGTAGTCTACCATCTTTGGTGACTACCTGTCTTTGTGCCTTGTCCATGTAAGTAGATACCACTCCATTCATATCTCCCATCAAAATTATGTTGTAATCCATATGGTCCATCAAGGTCTCATGCAACTTCTTAAAAAATCAGATTTCCCGTCATTTGGTGCGTAAACTCCTACAATCAAAAATTTTTCTCCTTGTGTTTGAATTTCAATTGCCACAAATCTTCCTTGGTCATCCTTGAAAACAAATTTTGGTGATAAATTGTCTTTTGCGTAGATCACAACCCCTCTCTTTTAACTTTATCTGACGAAATAAATTCCTGACCAAGTCTTTTATTTATCAACAATTTCCTGTGTAATCTTGTTATATGTGTTTCTTGTAAACAAATTAGGTCTAATTGTTCCTTTTTTAATATATGAAATACTGACTTCCTCTTCTGAGGGAATTCAAACCCCGACAGTTCCATGTTAAAAGTTGCAGGGCCATGATGTTATTGTTTTGGTTCTCCTCCTACTGCACCTAGTGCCTGTTCCTCGTCCGTCGGTGGTATCCCTTCTTTCGAACGGTCTTTTGGTTCCGGAAATAGTTCTTTTTGTAAGTCTTCTCCGTGGTCCCTGTAAAATTTATCTTTATCGTCTTCCGATCTTATTTTCCTCTTCTTTCCCTTGTAGCTAAAAGACAGGCCTTGAGGAAGTTCCCACCTGAAATTGATGTTGTTCCTTCTCAGCAGGATAACCAGGTCTTTGTATTTTGATCTGAGATCCAGAAGATATTTCGGAATATCTTTGAATATTTCCACCCTTTTCTGATGGATTTCCAATGTCTTCTTGAAATGTAGGCCCAAAATCTTATCCCTCTCTTCTTTTGTTCTAAAAGTAATCAGGCAGTCTCTCACCTTCTTCTCTCCTCTTCTCCCAAGTCTAAATGCATTTACTATTGTGAAACTGTCTTTTGCCAGTTCTGGGTCCCAAAAGTCCAAAAATTCCTGCGTGAGAAATTCAGCTAAATTGTCCTTTTCCACCTCTGGTACTGATCTGACCCGAAGATTCACTTGCTTCTCCTTCAAATCTATCATAGACAGAGTTAGTTTATGGTCTTCCAATTGTTTATGCAATGTTGGTAATTCCTCTTGAACCTCCT